CGACAAGCTAAACTGCAGCAAACATTATCTACGTTACCAGAAGATTCAAGCGAAAGTGTGTAGACTTCGAGATGATCACTCGCATCATGAGTTTTGGGTAGAGAGTAGTTCGACATATTTCCTGGTTTTTGAATACTTCCACTCCATACGTCCCCTGTCAAAAAACATCTGTCATACGTAAGCTATCCCTTTGTCGAGCCCATTTGTGGTGGTCTAACCTTGTATATTGTTCATTGCTATTCAACTCAACCGTCTTTTATATTGAAGGAAATCATGAGCTTGCGTTAGCTGTCTAATTGAAATAACTGTATTCAGTAATTGATAATAAAAATCAGGTTATTCAACAAAGTATCACACCTAAACATGGCTAACCTCTAGCGTTCATAACCTCCTAGCACCCTTAATCTATATGCGGGGTAGTCTACCTGCCAGGTGCTTGATTGGTTTTGCTTTCGGCAAGCATCGGGGAATATAATCAACGGTATACGTAGCGACCGCCTATCAAATGTCATAAGCCATCTGTCGGCTGTCGAATGTTCAGCGAGCACCAGAAGGTCATGTGGTATACCTCGTATGTCATATATCGAATGTGTTATGTTAGTTGTCATCCGCTGTCGTACTTTAGGTGTTATAGCAGTCTCTGAGCATGACAAGAAGTGGGGTGGTCTACCCGCGAGTCGCCCTATATCTATAACTCAAACACTCTGTATATTGAACGGAATCAGCAGCTAGTGCGTCATACTTTACCTATCTGTTTTGCCGGGTCCATCTGAACATACTGCATATTGAATGAAATCATCAGCGGGGTAGCCAGCTAGCAAGTCGCCTGGTCACGTGTCATTGATCCTGTCAACGGCCTTCTATCAAACGTCATCTGCCATACGTCATACGTCAGCTATCTGTTTGCTTAGCCCACCTAAAGTGTGGTGGTCTACTCATGAGTTGCCCTATAAATTTTCTCAATTTTTATTCAACTCTCACACCCTGTATATAAATATTCAATTTTGTTATTGAACTGATGGCTTGCGAGGTAGCTAGCTTGCAGGTCGCCTAGACACGTGTCATCGAAAGTTTGATATCTGTCAACGAACATCTGTTATACGTCATCTGTCATGCATTACCTATCTGTTTGCAGAGCCCACCTAAAGTGTGGTGGTCTACCAGTGGGACAGCTGTATATATTTTTTTTTTTCAATTTTCAATCAACTCAAACGCCCTGTATATATATTTTTTTTTTTTTTCAATCTTCATCAACTCAAACACCCTGTATATATTTCTTTCAACTCAAACACTCCTTCCATGCTAAAACATGGGACCGTGAACCGTGGGACACTCTGTATATATTTTTTTTATTCAATTTTCAATCAACTCAAACGCCCTGTATATGAAAATTCAATCTTGTTATTGTCATCAAAGTGTTATTGTTGCGGTTTCGATAAGCTCGCGCCAGCGTGGAATTAGCACCTTGCGGTTAGGCGGCAACATCAAAGGGTAGAGATTTTCCCACGGTCCTCGAAATTTTCCCAGGCCATAGTAAGGCCCTACCTACTGAGAATGATCCAATGCTCTCAGTTCTCATAGGAAATGATTATTTGGCATGACACCTATTCTTCAACCAGATGGAATCGTTTTGTCCAGGGGATTGAAAAAGTGCCGTATGTCGAGGATAGATTCTTGAGCTGACATGAATTCACCAATGAAATAAGTGCAATATATGTTGGCAACTGGTGGATGATTGAAATGAAATGTTGACATTTTGATTTTGACTAACTTTGAGGTTATAATATGATATAATCTTGCGACGAAGAGATTATTGTGTATTGAATATTTACTATATTTCCTCTGATCGAAATGGATATGGATACATACAATATTGAAAAACCACGAGGTGATAGATAGCATTAGCAAAGAGCATAAAAGACTTTTAATAGAAATAATTGAGGACTCTGAGGACTTGAAGAAAAAAAATGTTCATCCCCAATTCACTTACAAGGATTCTAAAGTACCTATCAATTCTTTAGTGATGTCTTTGGACAAACGAAAAACTTTAATGAATTGTGCAGCATACAATCACTCAAATGTGTCCCTTCTAGGCAAAAACCTTCTTCTTGGTCTTCTAGAAAGGATTTCAGCCACTTCAAAATTTTGTGAAGTCTCTAGATGAGCTATTTCATCTATGTTTGCCATGTTTTGCAATACATATGTTTTTTCGATTTTTCACTAGGGTTCAGTGCCCCTCACAAATGAAAATAACTTCGTATTTCATTAGTGTATTCTATGGCGAACATGTTGTTCCCATGGATATTACCATGGGGAGCACTTCTCTTGAAATGTGTAGGTATAGTTTTTCATACAATAGTTCAAGAATATATCATCTCAAATTTCCATGGAAAATATCGAGTTTTTCCCATGGGAACGAATTTCAACGGATTCGAGAATCGGCCCCACGGCATGATCCCTCCAAATCCCAAAGTCACTCGAAATCATGGACAATATGAAGATCGCTAGCAGGATGGTACTATACAGTCTCGATTTTTCCCCGTTCGTCCTCTGGCATTGTCTTTCCTTGTATACGGAAATGTCCGCAAGCAATCTATACATAGAAGTGAGTGATAATTTCTGTCGGTTAACCGACCAAAAAGATACATATAATAATGAAGATGATGAAAAGCCCTGATAGTCCAATAAATGAAGGAGGAAAAAAAGGCAAAGTTAACGTTAATTACGCACTATTTTCATCTTCCGGTTGGAAGTAGCTTTTGGTACCTCATTAAACATGAGACAAAGTTTGACTGGAAAACGCGTGCGATGGCGGAGAAAATGGCCCCAAAAGACCAGTAAAATAGGTTTTCAGCCAATATCTCCTAAAATATGGCAGTTAGAGATTTTTGGTTCAGATAAAAATTGAAGTTCAGTTGATTTTCTACAAAATGGTCCTTATCATTTTTTCTCGAAAATTTGCCCGGTTTCTAGAAAAACGGCACGAAGCGCACCTCGAATAATGAGCTTCTGTTTTGTATGCCGGAGAGCACAGTCCGTGTATTTACACATCGGCGGGGGGACAAATTATTCAATAACTTTGTTAAAAATGCATATTTTCTCATGATTCAGAGTTCATGTGAAAGAGAAATTCTGCTGCTATCATACCCTGTGAATTGAGTCACGCTTGACTCTTTTGGCCATATCGGAACATGGGTCAAACTTTCTGCTCCCGGTCAATTTTGACCTCGCCAGGAATTTGTTCCTATTTTTTTTGTATTGCACTAATTTACTCGAAATTTTCTTGATAATGGGTCCTCATAAGGTCCTTTGTCATCCCTGAAATTTGTATACCCTATTTTTTTTAATTTTCATTTAATCTTTGTTTATTGAATTGCTGTTTTTGGAGCGCGGGGAAATTTTGTGAACAACCATCAATTAAAAATTTATACATGATCCGATTGGTTTCTATGATACATCATTTGGAAGCTAAGAAGGTCTACTTTTCGATTGTGCAAATACTTTGTTAGACGAAGTCGTTCATTTTTCAATAAAATTAGAAAAAGCCGGGTCAAGGAGAAAACGCACTTTTTTTTCGGTGTTTTTTTCTCCGTGCTCTTTATTTCTAACATTTTAACACCTTAACTTGTGAAACGGGGGAATTTCCACCTTTCCATCGATGTATATAAGTCATACCTTTGATATCCCGGGAAAAAACCAGTATATCTAAATGTACACGCTATAATTTAATTCGTTCCTCCGTCGTTCGCCGCATGTGTGCTCTACGTGGCGCTCGAGTCGTCTGCTACAAACCATGCGGCCACGCAGGGTATGATAGCAGAAGAATTCCTTTTTCACATGAACTTTGAATCATGAGAAAATATGCATTTTTAACAAAGTTATTGAATAATTTGTCCCCCCGCCGATGTGTAAATACACATTTTAGGAGATATTGGCTGAAAACCTATTTTTCTGGTCTTTTGGTGCCATTTTCTCCGCCATCGCACGCGTTTTCCAGTCAAACTTTGTCTCATGTTTAATGAGGTACCAAAAGCTACTTCCAACCGGAAGATGAAAATAGTGCGTAATTAATGTTAACTTTTTCCCCTTATTTATTGGACTATAATTTCGAGTGACAACGGAAAATGAAGATGGAGTTTTCTCATGTGTATGTGAGAGTTGTACCCCGTACGATTTCACTCTTCCGCATCATTTTAACTTTTCCGCAAGATTCCGACGACAATACCAGGAGACATGTGGTGATAACTGTTGGCACCAAAACGTACCCATAGCCACAATCGCTATAAACTGACAGTAGTGGCAGTCAACAAATAAGCAGTTCAAGCGTAATTTTCCGTGTACGTAATCCTAATTGAAAATGAGACTTAAGAAACTTTCAAGATTTCCCCCTGGGAATAATTGATGCAAATACTGACCAATCAAATTCAAATAAGAAACAACGTTCTTCAAGATGTTGCGGCATCTGCTATATTACAGCATGCAACAAACACAAATTGCACTTTCAATGTCAATATTTACCATCGTTATTGTTGCAGTTATTGTTATTTGAATGTTCTTCAAATTAGTTTCCTATTATATCGATGAAAAAAAATCCATTTAAAAATATCGTGCGGAGAAGTTATTTGTCCGCAAGGTTTTTGTATTGTCGAAATAAATTCACACCATTCATTTTTAACATCATTACTGTTGTTTCTAGGAGATTTCATATGTTGTTCACTATCAGTGAAGGCACTACTCATACGGTCAAAAAGTAAACAGATGATGAAAAACCTTTGCTAATTCAAAATGTCTTCTATGAAGAAAGAGATGCGTGAAATATTTCAGCCAATCGAGCGTACGGTAGTTCGAATGTTGTCGTACTACCGAGCGCTCGATACGTGCCGAGATCGGGCGTACCGAACGCGGTATCCTAAGTGCTCGATACAAAAATGCGTCCGGGAAGTACGTACTTCCGGAAGTCCGAAAAAATGCCACTTTCTATTAATTAATAACTATTTCAGGTGGTTCCACGAGTTCCTGCAACTCTCCTGTGCCGGCCTCGCCCAGGACCGGCCTGGGCAGGTGCCTGTCCCCGCTGTTCATACACAGATCGTTCGTGCCGGAGACCTCTTCATCGTCGCAATCGGGCCCGCCCGCCAGTCCTTTGGGGGCTATCCAGCCGGACCTGTATCTTCGGAAGGACGGGCCGCTGTTCATTGGTGGGGGCAACAAGTCCTCGGCCGGGAGTTTGGGCAGGCTGCACTTCCGGCTGAGCTACGATTTCGATAGGAGCGATCTGGTGGTGCACCTAATCGAAGGTTAGTTATACAGGGTGACACTCTGAAAACTTCACTATCGTGAGAACCAAGGAAAATAAGGCTAAAACTGATCTATCGATTCAAACTTTTGGAAGTTATTTTTCTCGAGTTTTTCAAATGGAACACCCAATATATCTTTGGGTCATTTGGTGTTAAATCGAAACACAAAAATCTTTCGTCGCAACATCCATATTGATATTTCTAACCATTTTTGAAGTCTGGAACTTCGAAAATTATAGGTTGGCCATTTCCATCGATACACATTCTCATCAGTTATTAAAACATCGAAAGTACAATAAATTATCATATTGTGAATCATTATTCTGGTTTTGTTTTTGATATGCTATGAATTTATGTGATATCCTAGGAATGAACTTTTTTTTCTCTTTTTACTTTGTAAATTACTATAGCATATGAACTATATCTAATGTTTGCTTCAATTCGGACATCAATTCTTTCAATAAAAAACAAGTTTACTGAATTAATAATTGGACTTTTGATGTTTTAATAACTGATGAGAATGTGCATGGATGAAAATGGCCAACCTATAATTTTCGAAGTTGAGATGTTGAGATAAAAGATGTTCGTGTTGTGATTTCACACCATAACGCTCGGAGCGTTATGGAAGGCATTATGAATTATAATGCCTGCTAATTTTTGTTCTGTACTTCAATGAATTAATCACTCAGAAAAGTTCCATTTACTACTGAACATAATCAGTGGACTTATTATCTCCTCTCAAAGATAGAATACAATGTTCAAATGTACCTAAAAAATTAATACCAAGTTCGGAGTTCCGTGAGTTGACCAATGATGAACTCTTCAATGTGCATTCGGTTTCGTTCGGAACGTTAACATTTTCTTCTTCAGAAAAGGAATGGGCTATCATTGCATCAAATTTGGTCTTTGAGGAGATAATTTCTTCAGTACAGTTCTCCACTACCTCTTCCATGTAATTCTATTATTTCCAATGAAGCACCACCTTGAACAAGAAGCGTTGAAGACGTTCAGCGTAGAAAATGTCCGGTGTAGCTTTTCGGGTTTTCCAAATTAAGGTATTTTGTTATGATAGAAGGAACAGTTCCTATAGTTTTTCTATCTTCAGATAAATCAATGCATTCATTATTCCTGTAGGTTGAAAAAAAACCTACGTTGTTTTCATATACAGGGTGTTTCACAGGTAAAGGGAAATATTTCAATGGTAGATAGGGGTTACCAAGGTGGTTCTGAAAATACCATATTTGATAGGTCTTAGAGTCTTCATAACGGAGATACAGGGCGATTTATCGATTTCGAATAATTATTCATTCTTCTATATGTATTGACCTACCCAGTATATTTTCCTCAAATTTGGTGAGGAGCTTATACTTAAGACGTTAAATTCATTCACCTTTCGGCCGGAGTGAAAATCCAGTTTCGGCTTCAGGAAAAATTTACATTTATTCGAAATATTAAAATAACACACTGTATTGATTAATTAACACAGTACATCAAAAGAATTGTGAAGAGGAGGAAAAACTGAATTGGGTTTTATGCTTTTTGTTTTCCCGCCACCAATTCTCATAGTAACAATCGTAAACATAAAGTTGAAAGTATGTCAATTTGAAGAGTATTGAAATTATGGAATCAGTGTCAATTATGATTAATCGATATATTTCAGTCAAAAAATCGCTCTAAAGAACTTACTTTGTCTCACAGTCTTTATAACGGAGATACAGGGTGAATTAGCGATTTTGAATAATCGTTCACTCGTCCATAAGTAGTATCATTAACCTATCAGACGGAATGGAAATAATACCAGATGATTATAATTCGATAATTCACCCTGTATCTCTGTTATAAAGACTATGAGACTTTTCTTGAAGCTGAACCTGTATTTCCATTCTGCCTGATAGGTCAATGAATCCATCGTCCCAAGTAAGCTCGATACCAAATTTGAGAAAATATTACTGCGATGAGTAGTTTAATACTTATGGACGCGTGAATAATTATTCGAAACCGATAGTTCACCCTGTATCTCTGTTATGAAGACTGTGAGACTTAATGAGTTCTTTCGAACGATCATTCAACGAGAATATATCAAATAATCATAATTGAAAGTGGTTTCATAATTTTTATTACTCTTCAAATTGACATACTTTTAGCTTTCTGTTTATGATTTTTACGATGAGAATTGGTGCCGGGAAAACAAAAAGCATCAAATCCAGTTCAGTTTTCTCTCCTCTTCACGATTCCTCTGATGAACTCTGTCAATTATCACATACAGTGTGTTATTTTAATATTTCGAATAAATGTAAATTTTTCCTGAAGCCGAACCTGGATTTTCGCTCCGCACGATAGGTGACAAATTCAACGTGCCAAGTTAAAGATCCATACCAAACTTGAGGAAAATATACCGGGTAGTTCAATACTTATAGACGAATGAATAATTTATCGAAATCGATAAATCGCCCTGTATCTCCGTTATGAAGACTCTAAGACCTATCAAATATGGTATTTTCAGAACCACCTTGGTGGGCCTTATGTACCACTGAAATATTTCCCTTTACCTGTGGAACACCCTGTATTTGGTCGTAATGCAATGTACTTCTTAACTAAGTTCAATGTTCCTATTAAGCTTTCCTCAAGAATGGTGAAACTTTTTGAGGTGCAGATCTTGGTTTCTGGTACCTTGATCAGTAAAACGGCTCATCTTTCATCAATGTCATCAAGTGTCATCTTGACCATTTCATCATGCCTTATTCTTCCAAATACACCCATGACCAGAACAACTTTATGTAGCAGGAAAGTATCATCTGGAGGTCCTCTTATGAAAAGTAATATTTATCCACCCTCCAACACCTTTGATATTTAAGGAAGACATCCTTTTTATTCAACTTCCAGAAAGGCCATTAGTTGACTGGATACTGATATATTAATGTTATTGTTTTACAATCAATGTTAATTTCAGCTGTGAGTATCTGCTCCATAGAGCATTCGCACTATATTTTTCAGACGGAAATAATGTGAAATAAATAAAAAATAAAAATATTTTTCATGAGATAAAAGGTGGATTCATGCAAGACCTAATTCAACCCTAATTTAATTCATTCCTAAGAATCTGAATTGAGTGGTTCATAGAGAACTTTATTCAGGAATTTACGCATGCGCACAAAGTAACATTCAGCAGTGTCATAAGTGTCATGTCATAATTATTTTGAAATCTTGAACTGTTCTAGAGATGACATGAAGGCAATGAAGGTTCTTAAGAAAACTACTGCTTCAATAGTGATGGCCTCTCTATGAAGCCATTTTTGATAAATAATCTACAAACCTATATCCCCTAATATGCATGAGATGGTTTCTCATGTATTTTCTCTTACAAGCTCATTTTTGAACATTGCATGCGTTTCATCGTACAATTGTTTGTATTGTTCAACTGAACTGACTAATTCCGAATCGTTCATTTTGACTTCGATTCCTGCTTCATATACAGTGTGTCCACCTTAAGGACTTACCACCCCTGTTAAATTTTTATTATCTGACCGATTTCAAAAAACTTTTTCTTGTTGGATAGGTATTTGAAATGCCCATCCAACAAGAGAGTGATTTTACTCATGAACTGTAATCGTGGCCAACTGCGACCAACTTTATTGGCCCATATTTGAGAAAGTACTATTAGGGATTTTTTTTTTCACAAAAACAATGATGGATTCTGAATCACGATCACTTGAAAAACACCTTCACTGATTTTTATCATCATAAAACACAGGACACAGGGTGTCCGAAAAAACGGATTATGTTTTTTTTCAATAGGTGATCAGAAAATGTAGTATTGTGGTATTTTTGGGAAGAATTGATGACACATATAATAGGTCTATGTGACACATTATTATTGAGGATCACTTTGAACATATCTTTACCGATTCTCATCATTCAAAAATACGATGTGTATGCGAAAACAATTAAAAAGAAAAAGTAGGCAATGTTTTTTCAACTCAAAAATAATATTAATTTGATTTTTCGAACACCCTGTGTTTATTGATGATGAAAATCGGTTCAGGTATGTTCCAAGTGATCCTGATTCATCTTTTCATTTTGAGTGAAGAATCATCAGGTTGAAAAATATTGCTTACCGATTCTTTTTAATTTTTTTCTCAGACACATTGTATATTCAAATGACGAAAATTGGTACAGGTATATCTGAAATGATCCTCAATGATAATTTGTGATTATTTCCTTCTAGAAGAACCACAGTACTACATCTGCTGATCACCTATTTGGAGAAAATGATGATTCGTTTTTTCGGACACCCTGTGTTTTATGATGATGAAAATCGGTACAGGTATATTTCAAGTGGTACTGATTCAGAATCTATCATCAAGTTTTGTGGAAAAAAAACCCTAATAGTACTTTCTGGAATATTGGACATTGAAATTTGTCGCACTTGGCCACGATAACAGTCCAAGAATTAGATCACTCTCTCGTTGGATGGGCATTTCAAATACCTATCCAACAAAAAAAAGTTTTTTGAAATTGGTCGGATAATAACGATTTTACAGGGGTGGTAAGTCCTTAAGATGGACACACTATATACTACACTTCGAACGTGAGGTGAGGCAGGCATGTCAGACAGGTTCTTTTATTGGAGTAACTTCCTTATAATTGTGTTAGTTACGTCGTCACTTCGTGTGAAGACCGACGATATGAAAGAATGAAAAATAATCCTATAGATATAATTCACGACTATGTAATAAGAATGATGGCCTTATCTTTGGAGAAGCCCATTACCTATAAAACCAATGTATATAAGTTCTAAAATGCATTTAGAATGTCAAAACATTTAGTCGCGGGAAGTATAATTATTGTTTCTACTATGTAGACAGGAAGGTAGTAGTAGATTGAGGCTAGGAATTCAGCAGTGACAGTTCTTGAGATTAATACTGTCATTATGTATAATACATCACTCGATTTCATTCACCTATACCGCTTCAATTTCGGAAACACCCTGTGTAACGAGTCATGCACTCGTTTTCCTCTGGGTCTGATGCGAAATATGCGAATATTATTTCCTCCTTTCTAAAATTGTTCCTGATTTCGTTTTTCCTGAAACACGATAACCTCTGCATGTTATTCAAATCCCATAGAAATCGAAGCATAAAATATTAATTAATTCGTTTCATGCAAACAAGTGGGGAAATGGCTAGCGTTTCAAATTAACATCAGGCACTGTTAATCTCGCATGTTATCTAACAGTTCGATTATGGCTAGAATAAATTATCAATCATAAACTTCAGGGGTGGTAGTGTCGTTTTGGATGATAAAGTTATCAGTGGCGTAGCTACCGACAACACAGATCACCCAACTATGAATAACACCACCGTATACACAGAGAAAAATGTATCGGTGATTTCACACATCACCCTTTAACTTACACTGGAAAAAAATACTTGCTCTATTCACAGAAATAGTAATAACAGTTCTGTGGCATGGTCATGATGAAAAGATACTTATGTATAGACCAATGTATCTACACACCAATCATCAGTATCTGTTGCATGGTGTTTGGTATTTTTTTTTTTTTAGAACCTCTCATTAAGAATGTTGCACACCTACGGAGATTAAAAAATGGTTTTCTCAAATATTTTCTCATTAATGCCCAATTTTTCGAAGGAACCTGAAAATATAAAAATTTTTGTGAATGAATTGGGCTTCTCAGCCATGTTTTCTTTTAATAAAATGTTTCATGAAAAACAGTTGAAAGAAAAATACCTAAGAGGTTGACTATATTTCAACTCCTTCTGAGCATACTCCAGGGTTGAAAACATTCCAAAATGTGTGTCAACCAAGTTCAGTGTATTTTGCTAAGAAATACAGAAAAAAAAATATCAATTTTCATTTTCGGAAGGGTAAAGAGAGGTTTCTCAAGAATTGTTTTACGAAATACCCACCTTGTAATTACAAACTTTATATGAAGAGATTCTTCCGGTTCCAGCCCACGATTTGGCAGGCAGCGAACAAGGCGGCTTCAATGACCCCTACGTCCGTCTTGCTCTTTTACCGGAAGTCGACTCCCGGAAGCGACAGACGAACATCTGCCGGAACGACCCGAACCCCTTGTTCGACCAGCACTTCAAGTTTCCAGTGTCGCACGAAGAGTTGCAGAACAAAACGCTCATTCTACAGGTGTTCGACTATGACAGGTAAACCACTTCTACTCAATGTTTCCAAAACGAGCCCCTTCGATTCAATTTTCTGATGATTCGTAGACTATTGCCTGATAATGGACACTTGGTTGTCCGAAACACATTTTCTGAATGAACTTCCATTATTGAAAGCTGTGTAGATAATCATTGTGTGTTTCCTGATTCTTTCATAATATTACTCTACTTGAAGACCTATCACCCTACTGATAACACCCAAGTAGACGTAACAATCGTAATGGCTCATTTTGGACAGTTCTGCCATGTTGGGCTAAAAAGCTGGCTGATCAGACTTTCTCCAAATTTGATTAGACCTGATAGACGTCAGTTTTCAATCCTTCAACAGGTTTGAACAGCTTCAAAACAGGTTTGATCAGCACAAGAACAGCTGTAAGACTCGTGTCGTAAGGTTGATCAGAGTTGATCGAGAGCTAGTCAGCTTTTCATTCCATCTCACTACAAGGAATGACGTGGAATGACTATTGACCGTTGTCAAAAAATGAAATTAGATTGACCAAAAACGAAACTTTTTGAGAGTAGAAGACATTCACATCGTGAGGTTCACAAGTTCATGATTCTTTCAAGTAAGACAGGTTTCATATCTTAATTTCCAGAGAAAATGAATTCGCTCGTTCTCAGAAAACTTTCTCCAAGTACAACAATCACTGCTCCAAATATGAGTTGACTAATTTCATTTATTTTCTTGAATTCTAAATCTCGTATTATGATATTGAAATTATTCGCAAACTCAAATATTGTATCTAACTAGGTATTCCCGCAATGATGTTGTTGGAGATGTAACGATGACTATGAGCGAGTTCGACGTTGCCAATAGCGTCGAAATTTGGGGAGAGATAACGAAAAACAAGAAACCCAAAGAGGACACTCAAGAGGTACTGATTTCCTTGAGTTACTTGCCATCGGCAGAGAGACTCACGGTAGTGCTACTGAAAGCCAGGAATCTCTTTTTGTCTCAATGTAAAGGACCCGTGGGTAAGCAAAATCCACTTCGATAAAAACTACAGTAGAACATTTTTTGTATTTCATAGATACCAATAAAATTGTTGCTACCATCACCATTTTTTTTTACCATTTTTGTTTTCTTAGATCTGCAGGCATTCGTGAAAGTATACCTGCTGGTCAATGGAAAAAGAGCAAAGAAGAAAAAAACGGCAACTAGAAAAGGCAGTGTCAATCCTGTGTGGAATGAAGCTTTGACATTCACTCTTTCTGCAAATAATCTATCGAACGCTGCTATCGAGGTGAGAACAGATCGAGTACAATCAAAACAAGACTAGCAGATAGTTATAATATGTACATAAAGTAGCACTATCATTTTATTTCATTCTGTCCCAATGAACAGTATCTTTCAAAGGGAGTCATGGCAGCCATAATATGCTGTCAACAAAATCTTTCAACTGTCAAACTATAAATATAAGTTCTTCGAGATCGTGAAACATGAACCATCAATATCATCCACCCTTCACAGCTCTTGAGTTTTGTTATTGATCGAGAAAATCAAGTTTTATGTCTATTTACTGTTCGAATGCAAAAAAATCCCAGTAAACCACTCATGGCTGCAATTGAGCTTTGACGATTTTCAAGGTATCATTTGATATAACAAATCATCAAGATAGATGATTTGAGATTTTCACCAACCCAAATTCAGATGGTATAATAACATTGATATCGAGTAGTAATATTCCATTTCAATGATATCTCTCATTTTAAAGATAGGAATCAACATAGTAATTTTCAGTATCTCATCAGGAAATATTCCGTCGAGTATACTACATGTTTACAAATTTGTTCAAAATATTTAGAGGCTCCACTATAAACTGGATGGATATTTTGATTACTTTGCTGTTCAAATCATATTATATAATTTCAGTCGAATAATAATTACATTGAATACTTCAGAATAAATGATGGGTTGAAAGTTGGAAAAGCCAGAATAGCTTTAGGCTTCAACTCATCATTTATCGAGCCATAATAATTAGAGTAATCATCACTGAGGGCTATTCGGTTGATTTCAATTACTGCTGCTGTGGCAAATGATACGTCGAATTTCTGGGAATTATTATTTCCACTGAGTTTGTTGGTATTTTGTTAATTACGTCGAATTTCCTGGAATTATTATTTTAACTGAGTTTGTTGGCATTTTGTTTATTGCTTTCGAAATCAATTAAACTCTAGTTATCCTTGATTTTATCATTCCGATTTGAGGGAAATGTGAGCTGCAAGTTATAGCCTTGGTAACGGATTTCTGGTAATTTGCATTAATTTTTCTGAGTGTTTCGTTGTGGGCTGGATCATTCAGATCCAGCTTCAGAGAAAATGTAGGAATAGCATTTATTGTGCAACAAGTGAGAAAATTGCTTTTCCCAACATGTTGCACACTATACTTTTTCTACAACTGCACTTATTCAAAGAATCCGAGTAATGTAACTTATTGCTACTGATTTTATAATGTGGCATTATGCCACATTGAATATTGTGACCCGAGAGTAGACGCCTGTCCTAGTTCCTCAAAGTATTTCAAAAAAGTACACTTTCCGAGAATAGTTATTTGTTTAACTAGGCAGCAAAGTAGTTGATTGACTGCCGATGCTGAATTCATAGCCGAGCGTAGCGAGGCTAGGAATCCAGATAAGGCAGTCAATCTACTTTGCTGCCGAGTTGAACATATAATTTTTTCTCCGATTGTTCATAATGATATATATCTCTCTATTTTTCCTGTAATGTTCAATTGAAATAAAATTTGATAGAAATCGCAGTTGTTGGAATGGTTGGTTGCTATGGAAATGTCCATAATAATTATAGTTTGACAATTCATGAAATTTCTGACAGTTGTGCGAAAAAATATCGGATTATTCAAATTATTATATAATGGACAGTGGTAGCGACCTGGAAGTACTTACACCTCCAGAAATGAGGGAGGTGGCAAAAAATATAGAGTCTCGGATGAAATATGAAGGGAATCATAAACGATTTATGGATTATTAATTTTGCTGATACATATCAATCAGCAAAGTAACCACTTTGCTGCCTAGGCAGGAAAAGTGATACTTTGCTGATTGATATTTGTCAGCAAAATTAATATCTGCTGCCAATCGGAGAAAAAAAGTTATTTATCATGTCGAATACTCATTAATTGAATTTTCTCAATGCGATGCTATGATCAGTGAAATGCTTCATTCCGATAAAATAAACATATTTTACCCAATTTGGAGATGGACATTTCATCACCCTGTTAGAAGCCAGAAAGACAAGGTCTCCTCTGCTGAAGACTATGATGATTGACATTAGATAAATAAAAAAAAGTAGGTGATCGGAAGGTGAAGTAGTATTTTCACTGTTTTTCCTAGACATTCTGTCCTAGTATAGTCTTGTAGTGTCTCGAATATTTCATTAAACGCCGGTCGAAAAGAGTGTGGACATGCTTGGCATGTTGTTGAACAGCTGAACAAAAAACACAACACACAAATATGTTTTGTCCACATTCATGCAAAAAGCAGAACTTTTACGAACTATATTTAGTGGAAAAAGAAGTTCTTCATCGCACTTAGTGCAATAAAGTTTTTATTGCACTCATCTGTCATTCTACTTCAACGTGCTGTCATCATGACAAACATTTTTTATAGTGCTACTGTGGTTATAGAAACGTCATATATTCATATTGAAAATTGCACCAATTGTTCATTCACTTTCGACATTGAGGGTAAAAATAAAGTTTGATTTAAATTGTTCGTAACGTATTAGTTCCTGTTTCAATGCAAATCGATATCAATAATAAAGTATTCAAGTTGCGTTTTTCATTTTCCTACACCTAGTGCCGCACCTCAATAAATCATTTTTTGCTTCTTGCATGAACGTAGAAAAAATGTTGAATGCAACGAGTGCAATACACATTCACTTCTTGCACTTGTTGCATAAATAACTATTATAAGAGTTGAAATATCTTCTCGTCTTTGGACAACTCAAATGAATGGTAAGCAACATTCTTTGAATTTTTGCAATTTGTTACCGAACGAGACTTTTTATAACTGACGTTTTGAATCTGAGAATGATGACAAATGAGATGTTCGGGGCACTCTAGTCTAGTCACTGGATGGTGTTAGTTAGATAAGAGTTCGGACACAGCTGAACTTCTGTCCTCTTCTATTTTCTATATTACAATGGTGTAAGGGGATGAAAGAATAAGACATGAATTATGTTCTTCGTCTTTCCAATTTTCCTAGTAGCGCCTGATTGTCAGATACGATTTTAGATGTTAGACTTTTTGTCAAATTAATCATAGCCGTAGATGGATAATAGAAATAAGAATAAATACATACTTCAATTTATTTTGATACATTTTTCGCAGAACAACAGTTATTAACATCATTTTAATATGACAAAATAGACACATTCTGATACATTCTAATAGATGTTTCCTTATCGTAAGTAGAACTGTACCCGAGTGTTAAGTTTCAAAACAGGAAGATTTATTTATTTATTTATCCATTTATTTATTTCAGTTATTGCATTACATTATCTTCTCCATTGATACATTTCATACAAATGATATATAGAGTATAATTGATTTTCTAGTAGGAATGACATGAATGATTGTTTTGATTTTCCACCTTTTGCTGCAATCATCTTTCCCCAACAAATTTTGAATTTGATCAGGTATTGAAAACGCCATTCGATGATATATTACGTTGCAATTTACTTGACTTCTTGAACTTTCAATTCCATTTACATAGGTAGGTACCTGTGGTGATTTTTTTTTAGTTGTCTGTATTCCAAATCAATGAAACACCAGTTTCTTTCAAACGGATCTTAAAATTTTCTGTATGAAAATGGACCTGAAATATAATTTCATTCTAATCTGGTGGTATGTGAATGGGATTTTAATGTATATGAACACGGAATTTCAATGTATGTACTTCACAGATTCTGCTTGTCTTCAAATTGATTTTTCATCCTACATTCCTTCTGTAAGGAAATGGATGATATATTAACGTTGGAAAATTAAAGAAATGAAATCCATTCTCATCAGAATTCCCAAAATTCGTTGAAAAGCAGGACATTTCCATTCATGCTTTTTCCTCAATAGAAATTATATTTCAATTCTGACGTTCCAAAACTGTATTGCCAACTTGAAAAAAATGTAATGAGAAAGCGCGGAACTACTATGGTGCTCTAGTCACAATGCAAGATGTGTAACTCAATAAATCTAAACATTCGAAAACATTAACAATTGTCATTTCTGTGTCCAAACTCCCATCTAACTAACACCGTCCTGTGACTCTATCTAGTCTAGTCTAGACTAGAGTCCCTGTATATACCTTAGACAAGAGTCGGAACACAAAACTGACAGCCGTTGGGGTTTTTAATATTTTGATTCATTTGGTTTGCCCATCTGACAATGTGACGAAACACCATAGTCGTCCCGCCCGCTTTTTTTTTAAATTTCGAATTTCTGTCACTATCACTGAAATTTTATGACCGCCAAAATTTAGCATTTTGAATTATTTCGATGTCCTGCTGCCTACATTATTGCGATAATTCATTAGAAAAAGGAATCAAGTTATTCAATTTTCTTAATGATCCTTTAAAGATAATGTCATGGAAGAATGCAGTGAAACGTCCAGAATAGAAAATTAATTTCAAGAAATTCACAATATGTGAGGTAATTATTCAAATTAACTTGAAAAAACAGTACAAAAAAGATGAATTTTCGGCCCATTTTGATAGAGCTTCTTTCAAGCTGATGGATTTCAAATTGAAAGAGTCTGCTGTGCCGTCAATTTATAGAATAAAGACGTTGAAAAAAAAGTTCCGTCGTCATCGTATTGGGAATTACTGAATGATACGATCGCAGAAAAAGAAAATGAGATGATGCGGAAAGAAACTGAAAGTTTGAAATCAAAACTAGAAGATTTAGAGAAATTAATGAACCTATAGACGTGCTAACTTACACGCTGCGGTTCATAAAAGCCTACTTGATGCCTTCGATATATAAATAACTATTATGCCCGGCCAGACGTAGAGCATCACTTCGAATTGACACTTCTGCGCCCGCGGACGGTCCATAAAAGCCTATTTTGCGATATATAATTAACTAATAAATTTCTGTTTCGCTGCAGGTTCTGGTTTATGATCAAGGCAACGAGCTGATAGTGAACAACTCCTTAATAGGAACTTGCACCATAGGGCCTAAGGAGAACGGTCCAGAGAAGGATCATTGGGTGGACATGTCCCAAAATACTAGGAAAGCCATCGCATGTTGGCATACTGTACGGTAAGCTGTCTGGAAGAAAATTGTGCTCAAAAACTGATAGAGAAGCATAGCCTAGTAACATTATCATGGAATGTGGCGCCTAAAAAAGGTGAAGAGAACTAAGAAATTGGTTGAACATAGATGTACGGATCTTTCGAAATTCTCATGGAATCTCTTCTGTCGTTTCAATTACAGGGTGTTTCGAAATGGAAAAAGTTGAGTACACACTTTCCGAACATCTTGTATTCATCGTCTATGTGTCTCTAAACCAAATGATTTATTTGATGGTAAAAATGAAAATTCATTCTTTCTACAAATGTATTTAGGGTTATTCCGTTTCAAGCCACTGTTGATACAACGATTTCAATCCAAGGTTAATGCAGAAAAATATTCATTGCCATAATGGCCTCATCTAACGCTCGCTAAAAGTCAAGTTTACATACAGAAAATGTGACGTCACAGAAGAGGACGGCTCGCACTTATTTTTACGGAGCTAACACTGGGCTTATATACATACAGGGTGTTTCCGAAATTGGAGCAGTGAATAAAAGGAGGTGTTTTATGTGCGCTCTCACGATACTACTTCTAAAAGTCATTGGTATTGGTATTGTTATTGGTAAGTGTGGGTGGTGACAGATAAGCTGCGACCTTATTTGATCTATGGTGCTCCATCTTCTTCTGCTATCTCAAGGTTTTCTCGTTTACAGCAGTCCCTCAAGCTTCAATTCTTTTAGGAATATGAGGATTTTGAGGGGATCTGGTCGTGATGGTATTTCTTCCACGGTCAGCTGGTATGCTCCCAGTATATTCGAGGTGCTGTCCTCCTTTAAGACGAGCTTCATTAGTTGGTCTTTGGGTCTCCAATGCCTGTTAATTTTGCTGATATTCGTCAGTGTTTTCGATATTGCTCGGATGAAATTGCCGAGGAGATCTTTGATCTGCCGCAGTCCTGGAAGTCTTCACCAGCATGTCACTCTCATTGCTTCTTCAGCTTTATTGATTTCTTCTTGAAAATATAAATTCCCAGGACCGTAGAATGATTCTGGTCCAATCAATGGCGTTGATGCTTCTTTTCGTGCCAGAATGACTGCTTGTTTATTTCCCTTCACTACGATGTGTCCCAGCATCCAGAAGAGGATTACTTTATTGTTCCTGCCTAGATTGTTGAGATTGTTTAGGCATTTCCAAACCATCTCTGAGTTGATGTTAGAGGAGCTCAACGCTTTGATGGCTGCTTGGCTGTCGGAAAAGATAGCGATCTCCTTGTTTCGGTATTTCCTGCCGAGGTTGAACTGAATGCACCTTTTTATGGCGTGAATTTCCACTGGTATACTGGCACATCGGTTCGGAATATTTAGTGCGAGGCCCAAACACTCCTGCTCCAGTTCCTAACTTAACCTGACATTTTTCAGTTACCAAATAAGGTGGATCGTTCAATTCAGAGACTTTTTTGCAACCCGACTTTTTCGAGAAAAGAACCGTTTTCGGAATAAATACGCATATCTGTTGTTAATGTTGATGTTAATGTCAATTTTATCTAGAAAATCTCTGACATACTTATGCTCCAGATGATCTTCTAGAAAGTATTGACCCCATCGAATTTCAAATTGATAACTCCAGAAATGAGCGAGATATTTCAATTATGAGAAAAAAATAATTGAACTTTGGCCCACTGAATCTTCGCTACTGATCAAAATCGGACACATATTTATGTACACTTTTTTGATCAAAATGATGAGATCTATCATACATTTCAACTTGTTCCTTAAAATCTGAATCGCCCTGTATAATCTGCATGGGGAGACGCGTGATCGTCCTTCTTCTTTGATGACGTAGTCAGAACGGTTCTGCACTGCATGTAGGCTTGATATGAGTTGGAGCGATATTTGCCTTATTATCACTGCATTTTGGTGAGCGTAGATGGCTCCTTCACCAAATTTTGAATAGAATTGCAAATAGTTCCTTCGCCAATCTCCACCTTCCTATAATTATTTCGGTATTTGACCGGCCTAATTGGTTTTTGTGATTGAAAAAAAAAAAGATTGCAGAACCATTTTTGTGAATCGTTGCTTATAACCAACTGTTTTTGAAACTTGTTTGAAAGTGAAACAGCGATGGCAGACAAACTTTGTTAAACTTCAAATTTTGATTATGATTTTGCAATACCTATTTTTATGAATAGTAGAGAGAAACTTTGTCTATTCTGCATTGAATACACTGAATAACCCTATGTATAGAAAATTGAATTCTGAAAATAAATTACCTTCTTGACATTTCGATGAAAACCTGTATGACAATCATTTTCTTTCGCACAGTTTTCCTTGTTCAACAATATCATGTCTGACGTCGATTTCCAACAGTATTGAAGAATAATGGATATTAACTTCCATTTGATATTGCCAAACATTTCTGAAAATCGCACTCGGAGTCAGGAAAAACAGTTTCAATTGAAAATTCAAATTCCTTCATGTTCAGAACAAAATTTTATCTTCCTACATAGTTTTTCTTCTTATTTTTAATATAATGTTGGAGGTATCGCAGATTTCATCATGATTACCTGCCATTGTGACCACACGGAAACTATAGGGTGAGTCAGTTTTTTGTGGCAGGAATTCAACAGCTTGAAGGAGAACTATTTTAGAGATGAATATCTTCTATAAACATATATGCGTTTTCGATATACAGGGTTTTGAAATTTGCACGACTCCATCAGTGTATCATCCTTTAGGTTTTCAAGAACGATCGAAAGCCTCAGATATTGCGCTTCAAAAGTGTACTAGGTGCACCAAATTACAATTCATTATTTTGGAAATATGCGAAAACTTGAGAAACAGAAAAATAACTTTAATTCTGAAAATCCGTATATCGTAAACGAAGCCCCCACCATACAGGATGTATCTAGATAACACCTAAAAAATTCAAGGGATGAGTTCTTGTGATATTTTAGGAAATAAAGTTTATGTCTTTCTCCTATTCATTTCTCAATTGTCTTTTCATCAATCTTAATAAAACGTTGTGGTTTCGTTAATAGTGGTATTGAGCTTCTATTAGTGCAATTTCCATATTTTTATTTGGAAATTTGGGGGCTTTCTCAGTCTCAGTCAGATCAGACAATACATCCTTGAATCCCATTGTCGTCAATCTCGAAATATGTTCAAAAACTCTCTACCGAAACGCCGTGTCGTAGAATGGAAATGCTTCATATTAGGATTTTTTGCCTAGGGAAGAAAATCTCCAAAAACTTATGACCTTCAATAATTGAAAATTTACCTACTCCTACCTACCCTATCCTCTCCTATGGTCCATGAACATACTAGGGATTATCTTTAGTGCGCTCCTTATTTTAAGGTCCTGAAATTCATACTTTCGTGTACTGGAATTTGAATTTTACAAATTGATATTCTTGAATATTTTCCTGACATCTTGAATACCAAAACGCTTATATTGAGACTGGGATGTCATGTTTGAAATTTTACGATATCCCTCTCATACTTATGATGAATGTTGCTGTCTTATATATTATATACTATATAATATACACCTAAACATGAGGATATCTGTATTGATATGTTTTTGAACACTTTATAGACCCTTAAATAAAAATAAATGTATGGGTGTTACATGTTGAAAAATAACTGTTTGAAATCATGTTGAATTGTAGCTTCTGTGAAAATCATAAAAGGGTTATTTCATTATGAATTTTTGTGCTGAAAAAAGTGAGAAAATAGTTTAAACTTCAACCCAATCGCCCAGTCAATGTGATCATTTCCAGAACTTATACTACTCACCTTATTCTAGTGTGTTGAAAGTAATGTTATTCCTCCAAATTTCTCTCAACTTTCGACTATTGAAAAAATAAACATTGCTACATACTCCTTTGTATATACCTTGTTTCTACAGAATTCACTTACCAAGTAAGATTTATCACTGGACATCATCCTTTTAGATAAAAATAGTTTTTAGCATATTTAATTTTTCCAATGATTTTATGCTGGCTACAGGGACCATATAATGTTAAACTAATGGAAATGAAATGTATAAAAGATATTTAGAATAGCACTTGAGAAGTGTCATTTGAGAAACAAAGTCTCAAACTTGTAAAAGCTCGAGCCATTATAAAAATAAAAAAAAATCATTAAAATTCCTGGTTGAAAAAATTCATACTGAAATACTCCACAGAAATATATCGAATAAACTATTTATAGTAAGTTATACTATTTAGATATAGGAATAAGACATGTTTTATATGTATATAATTTCATTGTGTATATTGATCAATGAATATATTCAGAATTATTTTTAATGAATATTGAACGTTGATTGTTGATGAAGATAAGAAAGACTATGAAAAGGGGTCAATGATTTCGTTGTTAATCTACTATCCACTTCAAGAATCTCAAAGGAAAATATAATACTTGATTGATTCAACTGTATCGAAGGAATAACTGTAAAATATTTAAGTTGATGAAATGTACATATTTTCTAAATGAAAGACATTTATTGGAAGATTCCAACTGAAATTATTGATCATCTGCAAAATACATGAAAATGTATCACATATCTATTTGTTCTGTTACTTGTTTCGATTTGTCGAGATCGATGTTCATTGGACATTTTCTGACAAACACATCACTATGAATAATCATATGAATACACAGTTACAACACTGTGAGAAATCAGAAGTGATAGTGTCTAGATTCCCATTGGAAAACTATTATTAAATGATTCCTGATGTGAAATGTTCTTCTTCTGAACACTCTCAAAGAGTGCGTACTGTTGATATGACAATTTGTGAAGACGATCTGATGTTCGTCATGAGCTATATGATAATATAAATTATATCAGGTAAAAAAGAAGTCAAAAAATGCACGTACATATTCAGGGAATACTGTCTCAATTCACTGTGTTAATCTTAATCATATGGTTCCTTTCACTATTTTTCGATCTATTAAGCTTACTTTTATTTGAATTATCACATAACCTGACTGATTACAAACCCCACACGACTTATACCTGGCCATTCCTACGAATCCCGCATCAGAACAGAGGTGGCTTCGTCTTGATGAACTAGTAGTTCATAATATGATGAAAGTTATAAATACCTTGGTGGAGAAATAGTATACAGGGTGTTTCGAAAAAAAAACTGAACCCTTGATAGGGTAGGTAGAACACTGCAAAATAAGTTAGGTTTGCTTAGTAGAAAAAATTCCTAACGGCACGACCCGTTTGCAAGATACAAAGTGTTGAACACATTTTCGTTTTACACATTTTTAACGATTATTTCGTAACTATACTGGCAATATTGTAATCAAATTTTATAGTTTCATACCCAACTCTTTTGACGTTGAATTTCTTAATCCAAATCTGATGTGAACTTGAACATCATGTGTGTTACCCTTTCGGAATATTTCGATTTGAAAATGATGAAGTGTTGCTGGTATAAAGATCTAAGTAGAGTAAGTATTATGGAAAACTGCATGAACAACAATATATGCTAAACTCTTGATTAAAGAATGAATCACAACAATAACATCGAAACAAATTCAACTGAAAATCTAGCTGAAAACATGGATTACACATAACATATATTTTCGTTGTATCTTGAGCAAAAAGTCAATGCTACAGAGGTAAATTCACGTCAAGAGTTGCAAGATAGAATTGAACATCACTTAAAATGAGCTAGCAACTGATTCTCAACCGTTTAGAAGAATAATGCATTCTCAAGAAAAAAAAATTGAATCTTGCATTCGTGGAAACGGAGGACATTTTGAACACTTATGTATTGTTGCCATAGGCTCAGATTTTACTTCAGAAAATACATACAGTGATTTAGTTACGACTTCTTCACAATTTTGCTGACATTGAGACTCTATTATAATATTGGCTAAGTACTTCGTGGATGAAATTATATTTTTTGTAATCCTGATTTCCTGATTAGTGAAAAGTATGAACCAATTAAAATTATCAGGTATTGGTACTTCAGATAACTGATGAAATGATGAAATATGGATATTTATTTCGATAATATCCATATAACTTCTGAATGTTGGATATTGAAATTGATAGGATCAAACTGAAATTCTAATGTTTTCAATTTATTGTCATCGATCATTTTCATTGTATCCAAGGAGCCATGGTTAATAAAATCTATAACACGACCGCGTTCATATTTTCATCTGAAACCAGTTTACACACCAAACATTATCGTTAGTTTCGTTTTTATCAAGGTTATGATCTTATTGTTATCTGTTATCTGTCATAATTTGAATATCCATCAGAAGGTACTTATACCCATTGTATTCGGCAAAACAAATTGCATGGTGAACGAGGAAACGACAGAATTTTCTTGAATATTCAGAACCCGCGGTGATATTGGGTACTTGAAACATATCAAGCACTAACGATCGAATACCGTTCATTGAAAAAAGACATTCAATTTTCTTTTATAGGAATCACTGAATATAAAATCATTATTGGCAAATTCTAAACATGGACTTATATGTTATATCTATGGTAGACGTAACAATCAAAGTGATTATTTCAGAGTTTTTTTCCATATCTCAGCCAGAAGACAGAACATACCTATAATAAATAGATCGAAAAACTGATTTGAAATCCATCCAAAAACTGTTTGACGCTTTTTCATAACAGATCAACTGCCAGTCATCAGAACAGTATTATAACTATTTTGAAATCGAAGACTCCACGTTATTTCGCACACAGTTTGAATACTAACCAAAATGATTTTGCTAACATAATAAAATTAGCGAAACACGCATTGAGAAAACAAGTTCGGTTAGTGGTAAAACAAAATAGTATTGTTACAACTTGTTCGACAAGTTGCAGTTGCATGATATCTGTCAAATACGATATATGTTTCGATACACTTCCTTTATCCAATCTACCTTACTGCAAATGCCCGAGATGTTTTTTGAACCTAGTTTAGGCCAGTCTCCTAGTATGACCTAATTCAGTGAATTCGTCTCAATACGTATGACCAAATTTCAGACCAATGCCGATAGTTATATTACTTTGTTCTCGACAAACTGAGAGTTGATCTTTCATATCGTAATATGCATATTTTATGCTATATCATTTAAGCTTTTCAGGAGGAAAATTCTGAACGCATGACGAAAAATTTCCAAATGAATTGAATACTGAATGTACCTGCACTTGTAGACGAAAATGTTATTGTTGTGTTGTGGAAAAAAATCAGTGTTAGTAGATAAATAAGATATGATAACACTGTTTTTATGTAAAGATATTGTTCTGGAACCAGCAAATATTTTCAAGGAGAGAATAGCGCATATACAAAAAGTATTTCGGATCGAGCTTGATGTTGAAAATTACATTGAATTTTTATTTTTCTCTTCACACTATGTTAATAGTTTATTCTTCAACAAACGTCAAAAGTAATGAACCTTAGGTTTTAGTACTCACCGATTTATTCTTATGATATGATACACAGGGTTGAATAAGTATTTTGTCTAGATTTTAGTTGTGATTTCGCCCAAGTCACACAAGATATTTTTATATCAGAAAAAATATTCAGGAGATGAATTCACAAATCACACAAATTCACCTACAGATGGATTTCGCCAGCATCTGCCACTGAAATATTTTTATATGCATGATTATAATTCGACATGGATCTGAGAAATGGTTGAATTTTCAAATGTTTTGTCACTATCCACAAACTTAATTGCATTACTGCAAATGTATCTTAAAATATAAAATATGAGACTGTTTGATTTATTCATTACTTTTGAATAAGACAGTATTAATATTATATATTGAGTATAAGTATTGATGAAATAAATATATTATAAAGATTTTTTGATTCTCATTTCATCATTTTATTTATATATTATGTGCTCTTGTTATCTTCATAAAGGATTATGGACAGTACCGTACAGACAAGCGTCCTATAAGCTGATATACAAATTATTCTTCCTGCAGAATTTACAAAAATGTCAGTTTTTGCATGAGGAGAA